ATATGAGATTGAAATATTTAAAGCTTCCCTGTAGAGATGAACAAAGAAACAAGGGTTCCCAGTGTTTTTTTCTTCCTTGCAGGTACCAGCTAGTGCAATAAGGAAAGAAAACAAATACCTAGCACTGCCATCCTCCTCATTTTCAGGAGCCTCAGCTGTGCTTTTGGTATTCAGGAGATTTCACAGAGGAGTAACTAGGCATCATAACTGGGGGAGGGGGATAATGTTATCTTTATTTGTAGATGAAATGATTGCATACAAAATAGAATCTAAAATAATCCAAAGGAAAATTAGAATCCATACATTAATGTAGCAAATTTTCTATACATAAATCTATTCTGGCAATAAAAAAAAAATTCTTCAAAAGATTTTGTTTACACTACAGAAAAAATCTAGATGAGAATAAAAATAATCAAAAATTTATTGAAAACAAGAAAATGAGGAGAGAGAAAATAAAAGTCTTAGTAAGTGAATGCATATTATGTGCTTGCGGATTGAGATGCTCAGTAATAAGATGTCTGTTCCCCACAAATTAACCTAACGTGAAAAAATTGTTCCTTCACCAGATTTCCTTTCTTACTCTTCCTATTAATAAAATAGATTAATAAATATTGCAAACTATGAACACATTTGTACTATGAACACATTTTATAAAATATATAAATGTTATACATTGTATTGTTAATACTTTTCTGTACAGTATATAAATTTTCCATTGAGTAATTTAGTTATATTCTGTCCATTTTAAACATGAGTTTTAGGGGCTGGGGATTTAGCTCAGTGGCACAGTGCCTGCCTGGCAAGTGCAAGGTCGTGAGTTTGATTCCCGGTACCAGAAAAATAAATAAATAAATAAATAAACATGAGTTTTGCAGTGGTCTCAGGTTGAATAAATTTAAAAATCAACAAATAAGAAACCCCACCACCAATTATATTTTTCTATTATTTTTTATAAAAGCCAAGACTTGAATATCAAATTCCATTGAAATAAATCAACATTGAATTCTGAATTTATTTATTGTATTGATATGCAAAGCAACTCTTAATGTAAAATGATAGCTTCTAACATAGCTTTTCTCTCTTTGCTTTTTAAATGTACTTTTCTGCCAGGTGTTCTACAAAATTAAAATTGAAGGGACAACATATGTTGTGAAGCTAGTACAAAAGTAAGTGATCTTCATGATTCTAGAAACTGTTTTGGTTCTGCTTACTATTGCTTGTAATTATCCAGAAAGTAATTATTTCACATTTTAAAATGTTTCTGACTCATTCTTATCTTGTTTTGTGCTTTTAAAAAATTCTTTTACTTCACCATAACAAATGCCTAGCACCTCCATCCCCTCCGTTCTCAGAGACAATAGATTTATTTTGGGGTATCAGGTTTCACACAGGATGAATTTTGACAATATGATATCTTTCTGAAAACACAAACCTAGCTTGTTCAAGTGCCCTTACATTCAACTTTTATTTGAAGGATAACAGCAGATTCTTGCCATGAATTATGACAGTTTTTAAAATGAGGATATATACTGTGTCACAGTTTATTAAAGGCTTAGGTAACAATTGTAAATAATCAACCTCACTCTCATTCCAGCTAATGAATTTTGGGGGAAAAGGCACACCATACCAAGCAATAAAGACAAATCAAAATTGAAGTGGTCCTTGTTTAAATGATAAGAATAGATTTCAAAAAATAATGAGAGACAGAAGCCTGCAAATAAAGTCCAAATCAGTATGAAAATAAGAAATACATCTGCATCATTTCTAGAATTCACAGCTGTGACCCTTCTATATATCATAAATTTTCAAGCCAGGTAGGTGGTGTACGACTGTAATTCCAGCACTCAGGAGGCTGAGGCAGGAGAATCGCTGTTGAGTTCAAGGTCAGCCTGGGCTACATAATGAGTTCAAGGCCAGCCTGAACTACATATGGCATGAGAGCCTATCTCAAAAAACCTAAAAAAGAAAAATCATAAATTTTGGAAAATGTTTTCTCGTAAGATAAATGGTACTTGCTTGAAGGAAGACACTAAAATCTCACTCAAAATTACTTCTTCTGGAAAAAAAGGTCCTGCATTTTTTCAAGAAATACACAGGGAGATTCCAAAGAGTATCTCCCAGCTGCTACTTTCAAATGCCAAGTGAAAGGACCTAAGAGTCAGGCAGTGAGACCAGGTCTGAAACAAACTATAAGTACCTCAGCATTACAGTATAATATTTATTTTTGAGTCTTTAATATAGGCCAAAATATGTATAATATAATAGATTAGAAGTGGAAGAAGATCTGAATTAAAATGCAACCACACTACAGTTCTTAAGTCTTGTCTCTTTATATTAGAAAAAGTATATACAATATGACTACAGTATATACAATATGACTATTAGTATGTAACTGATGAATATGTAATTGATCACATTATGCAGCTTACAAATAATACATTTATTTTCTTACACACAAGCATTCAAAATGCATTTGAGTGAAAACAGTCTCATACCAGAACAAAAAAATTCTTTCAAATAGTAAACACGTTCTCAATGACTAGCACAATAAAAAGAGAACAGAATCACAAATGCTTAATCAAAGAAGCATCAGCTCTTTGGAAACTCAACAATAGTTGCCAAATACAAAAAATCAAAGCAATGAGGCAAAATATCTATAAAATAACAACAAAGAGAAGGTTGGAAGTCAAACATTTTAGATGCGAATGACAAAGTAAATCTATAATCAATGCACAATGCAGATTTTGCTGTTTTTTGCAATTTGTAGGCAAAAGACACAAAATGTGCAGTGTGAGGGGTGGATCAGATAAAGCGCTACTAGGAAAGTAATAAAACTTTGGGGGTCTTTGTTGTTCGTCTGCCTTGAGCCCTGTCAGCCCAACCAAGGGTTTCTCGGTAGCTATTTTATTTCAGGTTTGGCCAACAGTTTATATGGTCATAGGTTCATAGAGTTGCTCTCAACAGACTGATGTGTGGGCTTTGTGCAGAGCTAACACCAAACTTACCTGTCTCAACAGCACGACAATCTGAGGACTTTCAAACACAGAAAATAACCCCAGGGGTCAGTTTTATCACATCATTCAAAGTGGGGCTGGGGATTTAGCTCAGCGGCAAAGCGCCTGCCTGGCAAGCGCAAGGTCATGAGTTCGGTTCCCGGTATCGGAGAAAAACAAAACAAACCAAAAAAAAACAACATTCAAAGTGTTCTTGACAAACCTGGGAAGAGATCTAGATAAGCTTCTTTAGAATAATACACATGCCAATGAGTATTCCTGCTACCCATTTATTTATTTATTTATTTTTAATTTAGTTTAGAAACAAAAGAAGGAAAACATCTTAACAGACATCCATTTACAAAATAGCATAAGAATAATACAAGCAATACTGAATTACAGACAAAGTGGCAGGAAATTAACAATGGTTATTGTGTTACGTATTGATATCTTCAAAGTGGTTTCTCAGGAAAACAAATAGAGACGTGCAAGATTGATCAAATAATTAATCATTAACTGTTCCTCTCAGTAAAGTGATAGAAGTCAGTGGTACAACTATGTTAGCTATCCTGTATATACATACATACAACAAGCTGTGATGATGAGGACATCCTCATCTTTCTAACACTAAACTGAGCTTTATCCCTGGAATAACCCCACTTGTTTTTGATGCATTATCTTTTTCTATATTGTTTAGTTGACTGTAATCATTAATACTTTCTTTAGCATTATTTGTTATGATTATAATGCAGACGCAAGATTGTATCATGGGAAGGACTAGGGAAAGATTTATTGCATAGAGATATGGATTTATTACAGAAAGGAGGTATTGTAGCCTCAGGGATGAGAAAGTGCAGAGCAAGATTAAAGCCCTCGTGGTTGCCCCCGAAATGATGTCCCCCAGATTGGCATCATCTGAGATGTGTGGGATGCGTCTCATTCTCAGGAAACCCAAAATTGATAGGTCTTTTCTATCCCTCTGGTCAAAGACCCCAAACCAGGCTGAATGACCAGGTAAAAGATGTGTGATTAATCTGGATGTTTCCAACAAGCAGTAGAGACAAGCTGATCCACACTCTCAGCCGCCTGTTTTCTCTAAGAAGAATAATGAATCAGTAGTTCATAAATTTTAATGTTGTCTTGGCCGTGGCTTGAGGCATTCCCGCTGCAGATGACTCTAGGACAATCTTGCAGTGGTCTTTTCTAGTACCATCTTCCACTTTGCACCCCTGGACAGCGTCTTGAAGAGGGCCCCTCCTTTTCATGGTTTGATAATGTTTACCTGTGATAATGTTACCGCTTCTTTTGAAACTTTTTAGCTATCAATTTAATTTCATGGAAAGTTTATGACTATGCACTTATCCATGTAGGTCTGTTTTGATACACAGATCTTTTCTAGACACTCTTCCATTTTGAGATCAGCACTTCAATTTATAGCATAGCATTCAGGGACCTCCCTAATATATCAAATGTTACCGGCCATTTAGGCTCAAAGGCTCAGGTTCGTCTGCTTGCCGTTAACCACATCAAAGGAGGCCCTGTGTTTGGGTACAAAGGAGAAAGGATTTATGTAAAGCTAGCTGACAGGAGACAGAGGTTGCAAATCCCCACGTCTGTGTCACCACTCTCAGTCACCTCTGGTTCGCTCCTCTTTCTTTGTGGGAGGGAGGCTTCAACCTCCCGAGGCTCACATCTGCGCATCCTGTCTCTTCTTTGAGGCTGAGAAGAGGAGGTGTTTGTTATGTGCTGGGGGTGGAGTCTGTCTCCATAAAAAAAAGTCTAACTTTACACCAAGTTACACCTGTTTACATTCTGTGTCTGGATGCCTTTTTTTTTCCATTTGTTTATGTACTTATTCTTAAACTGTCTGTTCATCCATATGGATACCATATAGTCTTAATTACTATGCTTTTCAATATATCTTTAACCAGATTTATCCTGCAATTAAAAATGTCTGCTCTTTTTTTTTGGTGGGTGGAGAGTACCAGGAATTGAACTCAGGACCTCACACTTGTCAGGCAGGTGCTGTGCCACTGAGCTAAATCCCTGGCCCAAAATATCTACTCTTGATGCTTTGAATCTCCATGTAATTCTTGTAATCTGTTTTTCTGTTATACCATTTGTTTTGTAGTCCTCTTTTTCCAACATTACCCCTATTGGGGTAATCTTGGAATGAATCTTTTAATTTATGCGATTATCCATCAAAGGGATTCTTCTTACACATTCTTCTACTATACTTTTAATACCTCATATTAACATACAAATTTTTTAAATTATTAAACATAATAAAGGTAACTACAGTACTTTTACTAATTACCATAAACTATTTGATCTTTAGACTTTTAACATTCACTCACTCTCTTCTGCCTTTTTGTCATTTCTTCATACGTTCTAATCCTGTAAGCTCTTAAACCCTGCTAACACATTACTATTAATTTAACAGTCACTATTTCTCTGAACTTAACTATAAATTTACCAGTTTCAGTACTCTACATTTCTATGTTTCCTTTTTTATTTTAAAGATAAAAGAATGAAGACATATTAACAAACACACATACACTTAGAAAATAACACTGAAACAATATAATTTCAGACAGGGTGATAGAAAATTAACAATGTTTGTTACATTACATATTGATATCTTCAAATTGTACAAATCTGCAGTTAACTGTGAGGTGTCTTAGGCATTGTCTATACATTTCTTTTGCAACACTGCCAATTTTTAATACTATTTTTATTTTTACTTGCCTTTATTTTACCTTATTTGTATTAAATCTTCACTTAACCCTGTTCTTTTCCCTCCAGGTTTTTAAAGATCTATTTGACAAATAAAATTGACATATATTTATTGATTACAACATATTATGATATTTATTAAATTTACTAGTCATTTAGATATACATAATGATCATATTCATCATAGGGAATTTGTACCTGTGTATGCTATATCTTGATTCCTCTTTTTTCCCAGTCCTCTCCCCTGCTTTCAACCCATCTTCCCCTCCTTATTACAAAGCTTTATGTCCATTTTATTGTTTTTATCATTTTTTTCTTTTCCCTTGTTCCTTTTTGCCTTTCGCACACCCTAGTTCCTTTTTCCTTTTGAACAGTTTTCTCCTATTTCATATCTGTGTACATTTTGATCCTTCTTTACTCTTTCAGTTTCTCACACTAGGGAGACAACGTGATGTTTACATATGTGTACAATTTACTTCACCTAAGAGTATGGTCTAGTGGTACATCCATTTACCTAGAAATGTCTTGAGCGTATCCTTCTTTATGGCTGAGTAGTACTCCATTATATAAAAAAAATCATCAGTTTTATCCATTCCTCATTTAATGGGCATTTGGTCTGTTTCCAAGGTTAAGCTATTACAAACTCTGCTGCTATAAACATGGATGTGCATATATCAATGTGGCATGTTTTTAGTTCTTCCAGGAAGATACCCAGAAGGGGAAAAGCTGGGTTGAATGGGAACTCTAATCCTAGTTTACTGAGGAATCTCTAGACTGATTTCCACAGTGGTTACACCAGTCTACACTCCCATCAACAGTGGAGTAAGGTTCTCTTTCCCCCACAGCCTCTCCAGCATTGGTTGTTGGTTGGTTTCTTGATAATAGCCATTGTCTCTGGGGTGAGATGGAATCCCAGCATTGCTGTAATCTGCATCCCTCAAACGAACAGCGGTGTTGAACATTTTTTAGTATATTTAATTGCTGTTTGTATTTCTTCATCCTTATCTCAGATGCCCATATTTAGATTGGGTCTGTAAATTTTGGGGTTCTGATTTTTTTCTGTTCTTTTGGGGGGGACTCTGGGAATCGAACTCAGGACCTTGCATTTGCCAGGCAGGTGCTGTACCACTGAGCTATATCCCCGCCCCGATTATTTATATGTTCTGAATATTAGTCCTTTGACTGAGGGACAACTTATGTCTTGTGGCATTCTTCAAATCAAGCTAATGAACACGTCTATCATCTCAAATACTTATTTTTTGTAAGGGTAACATTTAGGATCTGACCCCTTCCCAATTTTCAATACTGTAATCATCATTATTAACTGTAGTCACGGTGTTTATAATAGATGTTCAGAGCTTGTACATCCTAACCAAATCATCATCTCCTCCTTCTCCATCCCCATCCTCAGACCCAGCAACTATCATTCTACTCTCTACTTCTATGAATGTAGGGCTTTTTAGATCTGAACCATAAGTGAGGTCACATAATATTTCTCTGGTCTGGCTTGTTTCCCTTAACGTAATATAATGTCTCCCAGACTGAGCTGTGTTTTCCCAAGTAATAGGGTCTCCTTCTTTGTCAAGGTTTAATAACATTCCTCTGTGTGGTAGTGGTGTGTGTGTGTGTGTGTGTGTGTGTGTGTGTGTGTGTTTCCCTACATTCCTTTATTCATTCACCCATTGATGGACACTTAGTTTGATTTTATATCTTGACTACTGCAGTGAACTTGGAATGCCGATGTCTCTTCAATATACTGATTTCATCCCTCTAGACACACAAATGGGCTTGTTGGAATAAATGATAATTCTATTTTAATTTTTCAGGCATTTCCCTACTGCTTTCCATAATGACCATACTAATTTACACTCCTGCCAAAAATGTGCAAGGGTTCTTTTTCTCCGCATCCCATCCAACACTGAGTACCCTCCTTCTTCTTGACAACATCTAAGAGGCGTAAGGGTGATACTTATCACCATTTTGATTTGCATTTTCCTGGTGACCAGGGAAGAGTGAGTATCTTAAAAATATACCAGTTGGTTTTTTGTATGAATTCTTTTGAGAAATATCTAGTCACACCCTCTGCCTCTTTTTAAAATTGGTTTTCCTTGCTGCCCAATCCTTTATATATTTTAAATATTAAATATTATCCCTTTATCAAATATTTGGCAACTATGTTCTCCCGCGCTGGAGGCTGTCACGCTGTTCTGTGTAGAAGCTTTTCAGTCTGACGTAACGGCACTAGACTAGTGTTGCTTTCATTACTTATGCTTTGCTGTGCTCATACCAAGAAAAACCATTGCCCAGGCTAACGTCCGGAAGTGCTCCAGTCTGTTTTCTTGTAGTAGCTTCATAGTTTCACATCTTACATTTAAGTCTTTAATCCATTTTAGTTGATTTTTTTTTGCATTGATGTGAGACAGAGGTCCAGTTTTATTCTTGTGGGTGTGGACATCCAGTTTTCCAAACAGAAGTTTTTGAAGGGACTTTCTTTCTCCGTTGGGTGTCCCTGGCAACTTCCTAAAATGTCAATTGCCCATAAATGCACGGATCTGTTTCTCTGATCCATGTTCTGTTCCACTGGGCTATTTTTCTGTCTTTGCATCAGTACCATGCTGCTTTGATTATGATAACCTTGAAATCAAGTAGTTTGATCCCCTGTTGTGTCCTTTTTCCTCAAGATTCTTTGGCCGTTTGGGGAAATTAACAAGGAGGTGAAAGTTCTACACTGAGCAGTCTTTTTCCCGCCAACCTACCCATCCACAATAAATCCAACAAGTATCTTTTCCAAAATCAAAATTTAGGAATCAACTTTCCCACTAATTTTCTTAATCTTTATCTTCACAGAATGTTTTTACCTCAATATTTTAACGTTTATGGTTATGATGAGGAAGGGATTATGAAACCTCTTGAACAACAGACTCAGGTATGTTTTTTGTCTGTGTTACAGATAATTGTGTGTTCTATGAAATGAGTTTTTTATGATATATTACTTGGGTCCACTGTTCTGGAGTAGCAGGGCTAAGGTTATGTTTTATTTCAGTGATGTTTCTAGATCACTTGTTTCAGGATGGTGTGCGTGGATGTTCTTATGTCCCTGTGGCAATAGGGTTTGAAAATGATGTAAAGTACTTGAAAAGAAAAATGATGATTTGAATCAGGGAAACTACATCTGGAACAAAAAGGACAATCTAAAGTGTCCTCTGAAATATGTCCAGGGATCAAATAAGTACACATAAAATTGGGGGAACAATTAGTAGTATATTAAATTTTCATATACTGTGCTTGGAACACTGAGACTTTCATTTAGTAATGTCTGCATTTTTTTTTTTTTTTTGTCAAAAGTTATCTGGAAATGTGGGTCGAGGTGCAGAGAACTATCCTGCCTTTGCCCTGCCGTACCAATTGCTATTGTTTTCTTTTCCATTTGTATTACCAGTTTCTATGTAGTGAATTCATCATTTATAAAGGCTAAGATTTTAGCAGAGGAAATAGTAGACATAGTCCTTGGTTTAAATTTTGTCTGAGAGGGCAAACATATCTGAGTCAATGAAAATATATAAATAATACCTATTGTTAAGTAATGTACTATACACACAAATATTTGTGTATACAAGTATATGAGAGAGAAATATATGATATGATATGACTGATATGATATGATATGAAAGAGACACAGAGCCATAATATCCCTGTAATAGCTCATATCCCAATGTTCCCCGCAAAACCTCATGCACTTATAGGCGGGGATTTTTGCACCTGGCTAGAACTAAGGTGTGTGATACTGGGATTAAGGGTGAGTGGTACTAAATTAGTCCACTGATTGGAACTGGCATAGTTCTGGGTGGCACCACCCTAAAGGCTGGTAGCCTGGATAGAATAACAGGGGGAAGGCAGGCTGGCTGCTGGCTGCTGGCTGCTTTCTGCTCCCTACCTTCTGCCTGCCCTGCCATGGACTGTTTCTCATCTGTGATGCCCCTCTGCTATGTTACCCTGCCTTGGAGCCAGCCAATTGTGGACTGAAAACTCTACAAACTGTGAGCTAAAGTAAACCTTTCCTCCTTTATCTTGTGGGTGTCGGGTATTTTGTTTCAGCAGCTAGAAAACTAACTAAGACAACCCCATACTTAAATTTTATATTATTCTGCCAACCCTAATTCCCAGGAGGTAACCATGAGAGATAAATGTACAGCTAAAAAGACTAAGCCAAAAGAATGCTTTATTGGTAACAGAATATGGTAAGTTGTTGCATGTTACCCTCAAATGTAATGAATAGATGGTGTCATATAAATAATATTTTTGCCATTGCAGCAGATGTAATTCTAATCCCAGAAAAATAAAATCAGGTTTATTACATTATTTAAAAATAGGTAAATTTATGAAATTATTTGTTTTTATAAGTTTCACAAATGATATGTATCCATAAATCATATTTTCTTTGAAAATAAAGACATCAACTCAAGAACAAATTAGCCAGCTGACTGCCAAAGACCCAACTTCCTGATACCATCACAGTGGATGTTTTCAAGGAACACAAATATAGCACACAGGGAGTTTCTGTTACCTGACTTTTGTTGCTGTTGCTTTTCAATTACAGGTCATCCTTTCCTGTTTCTTTGCTTGTCTTGTAGTTTTTGTGGACAATTAGACATTTTAGATAATATAGCCAATCTCAGTTCTGCCTCCAATCTTCCGGGGCATATAATCAATAGTTGCTAATTTGTTTAGCAAGTGGCAAGATTATTTTAGTGATATGTATACAACCTCACCCTCCCAACACAGGGTGTTAATTCTCTGCTGTCACTTCCCAGGGAGATACAGTAGGATCCACCCACAGGCACCCTGGGGTGAAGTGGCTCGGCAGTGTTCTCTTTGTCCTGTACCTGGCTTCAGGTAGCTTTTAAGCTCTGCTGCATGATGGCTGACTGCTGTACTGCCTTGGGCACAACTTGTTCTGTAGTCTCAGCCAATCTGATTGGGCTGCCAGTCTGTCGGTCTGCAGTTACCGTTTGTTTTGACCCCAGGAGGGCTTCTTACACTCACTTGCCCGAGCTGGTTAGGGTCTGTATATTCAAGGAATCAGTGAATCTCCTGCCAAACGTCCCCAGCACCATTTTGGAAGGTGTCTTTAGGCTTTTACTTCTCTGATTCCTTGGAATGAAATTGTCCATCTGGGGATACCATCCTGATACCATTACAGTGGATGGCACCTCTGAGGAGGTACTATGTACCCTCCATCTTACAACCTGCTTCTCCCACCACACAGTGCCTCTGGGCCCGTCCTGGGAGGCTGTGCACTTGATATTCCATTCCTCCAAGCTCTGGCTGTCAGGAAGCCCAGGCTCCCTCCTACTGGGAGAGAGAGAGAGAGAGTTTGGTGGAGCTGATGTGGGTGCAGTCCTTTCAGTACGGCGTTTGCATCTTCTGCTTCATTTCTGGTTCACTGTCTTCCTCTTGATTAAAGGCTTCTGTACTAAAAATGGCTCTGGAGCAAGAGACAGAACAGTCGGTTGGGGCTTCCTTGACCCAAGATCAGTGGATATGGCCCTGTTTGCTTTGGCAAATCCAAACTCAGACATCTTTGGAGGCTTTCTTGGGAGGTCTGCAGCCTCTTCTTTTTTTTTTTTATTTTAAAGAATAAAAGAAGGATAACATAATAATAGGGGGGACTTAGCAAATTACAGACAAAATGGTAGGAAATTATCAATGGTTATCGTTTTACATATTATTATCTACAAAATAGTTTCTCAGGAAAACAAATAGACAAATAATAGTGAGTTAGAGACAAAAGAGGTAGGAGATTATCAAGAGTTGTTGTGCTATACTTTGGTATCTTCAAAGTGGCTTCTAAAGAAAATAAATAGAGCTATACATGAGTGACCTATGGAAAAATCATTAACTATTCTCAATGGTTGTTGTAGGAAACATAATAATAAACATACATCCATTTATGAAAGAGGATAGGAACATTACAAACTTTACACAGTTATGGATAGATTAGTAGGAAAATATCAATGGCTGCTGTAATACATGGTGGTATCTTCAGAGTGGTTTCTCAGGAAGACAGAGATATGCAAGAAGGATCTAATAAGTAGTTACAGCCTAAGGGTTGTCGAAAATAGCATATTACCTCCTCACCAGTGACTCCTGTCACTGAGGTGTGATGGTTGGAAGGAAGGCCAGGATTGAAAAGAAGGACCGAGAGACTTGCACCTGTGCTTAGCAACAGGCTCTTTTCTTGTTCCTCCATAGTCATGATTACCTGGGGCTCCTCCATGGAGATGACAGTCTGGCCAGAGGGAGGAGGCAGAGTATGCCCCGGGCCCCCCATTTCTGTTGGACTAACTGGTAGAATGGATCTGAGCTCTGAGGCTTCTGCTTCAGAGGGCAGACCGTTCTCCAGTGGTCTCCTTTGCATCCAGGGCATGGCCCATGGGGCCTCTTAGGGCAGTTCCTCTTCAGGTAGCCTGGCTTTTAACAGTGGTAGCAGATGAATGCAGTTGTCGAGTTCTTCTTGGAGCCCCGGGAATCAGACCTGGGATCTGTTTCTCTTAATGGTGCAGCAAAAGCAGCTGCTTTTTCTCAGTCTCTTTGTTTTCTCTCCTTGGCCTCCTCCTCATCATGGCTATAGAATACTGAGGAGGCAATTCTTACTAACATCTCAAGTGAGCTATCTGGGGTGAAAGCCATTCTTTGTAGCTTTTTCTCTCCAGCTTCCCATTGCTTTGGGACCCCACAACCAGTTAGTGTCCTCTCCCCAACTGTCAGCACAGTCAGCAGGAATCCTGCTGCAGACTTCTCCGGAGCTCCACCACAGCCTGTACTGTCAGGGGAAGAATGGCTTCCAATGAGTCTCTGCAAGTATTGTGCAAAGTCCTCCTGATTTACAGCTTCTGAGCGGCTCTGGGGACCCCAGTCCACAGGACCTCTGACTCCGTGGGCTTGGTCTGCATTCTCATGTTCTCTGAGTCCTTGTTCAGCAGCTGCTCCTCTGCTGACTCTGGACCTTTCTGGTTCCCAATGGCAGGAGCAAGAGTGGCCCGTTGTATGGCATGCATTCGCAGGGGTTGTTCAAAGTTTCAATGATTCACACACATCCGTGGGTGGGCAACTGCTGTCGGTGCATGGCGGGCCAATTGTGTCACTGTTTCTCTGTGTCATGATAGATCTCAATTGAGCAGTGGCGGCGGCGGTGGCCAGCTTAAGGGCTGGCGCGCAATAGCACTCGGCGCTGCATGGCCCACCCTCCGGGAGCCAGCAGGCAGGAAGCTAGCCAGCCAGAAGGCTGGCGCTCCCCACCCGCAGCTCGCTGTGCACCGGAAGCCCTCCTTCCAGGAAACCCTGAGGCCGGGAGTGAGCCGTCGGTCCAAAGGCCGGTGCTCCCCGCCCAAGGCTCCCCGTGCGCTAGGGGCCCACCCTCAGGGAGCCACCAGGCAGGAAGCTAGCCAACCGGAAGACTGGCGCTCCCCGCCCGAGTGCAGCCTCTTCTTTAGCTGTCAGCTTTTCAGCGCTGGGACTGGAACTTTCCCCTCCGTTGTCAGAAATGCTCGGTCTTGGTCTTTATAGGGTTGTTTGTTTTTTTTTTTGCCACTTTTTCAGTTTCTCCTGTGGCTCCAGCTTGCTGTGGCTTTTCAGATTTCTCTTCTGCATCTCCTCAGCCATGTCCCTGCCAGCACCCTCTGCCCCGGAAGCCATGGCCTGTGTCCCCCCTCACTAGCCAGTGCAGGGGATTGAACCAGGGCCTTCACACTGAGCTGCATCCCCAGCTCTTTCGATCATTCATCTATCTATCTATCTTTCTGTCCATCTTTCTGTCCATCTATCTATCTATCTATCCATCTATCATCTATCTATTATTTACTTACTTAGAGTCAAGATCTTGTTAAATTGCCCAGGCAGGCAGGCCTCAAATTTGTAATCCTCCCGGCTGTTTCCCCCAGTGCTGGAATTATAGGCATGTGCCACCACAATCCTTATTATGCCCAGCTCCAGCCAGCTCTATGTTCCTTTTTTGTTTTTAGGTTTTTGAGACAGGGTCTCACTATCTTTGTGCTTATTCTTCTTCTTTTTTTCTTTTTTTTTTTTTTTTTTTTTTTTGGAGACAGAGTCTCTCTATGCAGTTCAGCCAGCCCTTGAACTCACTTTGTAGCCCAGGCTGGCCTTGAACTCACAACAATCCTCCTGCCTCAGCCTCCTGAATGCTGTGATTACAGGTGTGCGCCACCACGCCCAGCTCTCTGTATTCAGTCTTAAAGCTTATTTTCTCTCAGCTTTCTTTCAGGTATGGCAATTATCATAGTTCTAATTTCTAAGGGTTTTTTTCCCCCTTAAAGCTTTCTTTTGCTATCTGCATTGTGCAGTAAAATGCAGTGTATTTCATTTTAAATATTTTCTGTTCTACACAGACGTTCATTCTCTATATTTCTCCACTGATTTTTCTAGGTGATTCCTTATTATGCCCAGTATTGTCCTTTATGTTCTTCATCCCAATTTTAGCATCTGTTTTAAAGTCTTCTTTTTCACTAATTCCAAAGCCTTAGGTTATTGGAGGTGAGTATCTTCCTTAATTTTCTCCAAAGTATAGGCTACGTCTTCCTGTATTAAAAACTATCTAATATATATTCATTTGATTGAACCTAGGGGTACTACCACCGAGCTGCATGCCCAAGCCCTTTTTACTTTTCATTTTGAGGCAGGGTCTCCCTAAATCTCTACGTTGCCTAGGCTGGCCTTGAACTTGTGAGCCTCCTGCCTCAGCTGCTGGAGCAGCTCTAACATATTCTCTATCACATACCAGCCACATTCTATGATCCATGGTAGCCCTTGTGAAACTTTCTCTAAATAGCTTTTAGGAAAATAACGAGCTGCATTGGGCTGCCGCCAGCTCCTGAACTCTTTCCCTGGTGCTTGGGGATGGATAAACGTTCTCCCTCAGGTGTTGGCTTTCCGGTCTCAGTCTCAGCTTCTGCTAGACGGCAGGGTGCCCATACTCTCAGTGCAAATGTAGGTAGCAGAGTCACACCTGAGGTAACAGTATGCCCTTGGCCGAGGCATCCCTCCTTCCCAGGACACTGCCCTCAGTTTCCTGAATTTCTGAAACTGAGGCTGCTGTCCTTAAGCTGAGAGCAGTGTTTCCTGTTGGTACCTTAGCTCCCATCCACTCTGCCCTGTCCCCAGGAGTCCCCTGCACCTAACCCCCGTGGACTGAGCCTCCCAGCAAAGCCAGAGTCTTCCCATGCTGTGTTTTGCATCCTCCTTTCTCTCCCTGCCTGCCTTTGTAGCTGAAGTTTACAAAAATTGCCTAGCATTTGTAATTGTGAGAGGGCTGAGTGTGTACGAGTTACTCCACCATTACATTCAAATTAGTTTTGGGTTTTTTTGTTTGTGTTTGTGTTTTTGTTTTGAGACAGAGTCTTGCTCTTCAGTTCAGGCTGGCCTTAATTTCACTATGTAGCCCAGGTTGGCCTCAAACTTGCAGTGATCCTTCTGCCTCAGCCTCCCCAGTGCTGGGATTACCGGGGTGTGCCACTACACCTGCTTCAAGTTAGATTTGAAAAGTAAATTATTTCTCCTTTGGATTCATTTTGTTTTTCTTCCCATGCACAGTTAAGTCAGAAGAATACAAAAAAGTGAGTTTTTGATCCCTTTTCTTTTGCCATAAGCTAGTGATCAGGAAAGTCATGTTTAATTTATACCATGTGGAAAACTAAGAAAATACTCTCATTCTTTATGAACCTGTGGGAAGAATTTGGGAAAATTGAGCCATATGCTCATCTAGTAACTTTATAAATTGATTATGGAGATAATCAGTATTTGATGAATACACTGTATGTTTTAAATATCTGAAAATAATATCTTTAGCATGAGCTATTCTAATACATATTATATGTATTTAATCTTTATCTTTCAGAGTTTTTGCTACTACCAAGGACATATTCAAGGCTACCCAAAATCTTTGGCAATCATTAACACGTGTAATGGACTCAGGTTGTAACATATCATTGTATGGATTATAAAACAGATTAAATTATTTTTCATGGTGGTCCTCCCCTTACACTAAATTATTTGTATATTTGGAGACAATCAGATATTAATATCTTGACAAATACCAATCACATTACAATTCGGATCAGTCAGTGAGTTTGAGAATACAGCCCACAGTAACTCCCTACTTCAAGACTAAGGCTAATAAGGATATGCATACCATTAAAAGCTAAGTGGTATGTGACTGACTTTTAAAAATGTATTAATCTATTTATACACATTCTTTTTGGAATCTGTAGGGGCTTACTGCAGTTTGAAAATTTTAGCTATGGAATTGAACCCCTGGAGTCTTCTGTTGGTTTTGAACACTTGGTTTATCAAGTAAAACATGAGAAGAAAGACATTCCTCTATATGCTGAGAAAGATGTTAGTTTTAAAAATACGACCTATAAAATAAAAAGTGTAAAGGTAAGTATGCACAGACTAGTGTAAAGGTAAGTATGCAAGGCTATCATTTTTCAGCAATATAAATATGGCAATATCCTAGTTTTCTGGTAAACAAATTATTTATTTATACCCCTCCACACACAGAGACTTCTATCTGTGTACATGCAGCAGGGTTAATCAACTAGTAGACCTCAAAACTAGTGTTGTAAGGTTTCCTGCAGTGCTTTAAATTTCTGTATTATTGGTAGTGTTCTCTCATTTTTTATTTTATTGATTTAAATGTTTTCAATTTTTGTGGTCAGATTAGCTAAATGAATTTCTATTTAAGTGTCTTCCAGTAAAGTGTGGCTTTTTACAGTAGCATTTTGCAGTTATTTTAAACTGTAAATCAGATATGACCATTTCCCCCTGAAATAGGTCATTTATTGCATTTATTTTAATGCACACATATACTATAATATGAATTAAACCCACCCCTTTGTCATTTTTTGTCTTATGTGATCCTTACTCCTTTATTCTTTTCTCTTTACATTATTTTTATTAAACTATTTTAATTATTCTCTTTTCTTCTCCTAAAGATCTTTTAGATGATAGTTTTATATATTTTATATTTATATATAATATAAATATATTATTCAATAAATATAAAATCTATTTTCACTATAGAGTAGCGTTAGTGGTTCATGTCATTGTTGACAAACTATGGTTCTTGGGCCAAATCTGGTCCACAGACTGCTAATTGAATAAAGGTTTGTTGAAATAGATCCATTAATACTATTTTGCATAGTATGTTTATATATATTTTTTCATGTCTACTTTCAAAGTCAAATAGTTTGACAGAGCCCTACAAAGAGACTTCATATATGTCTTCACCCACTCTCCCTATCTTCCTATTCAGAATATTTTATGTAAATAGAATTACAGAATACGGTGTCTTTCATGACTTTCATGATTTTTCCTATTTATGTATTTAAATTTAATACAGGTGTACTATGTTCATCATCACTTAATATTATAATTCTTCTCTCAGTTATCTTCCATCTCACCATCTATAGCTCCACATCGCTGAGACCTTCTGTTTAGTGTTATTTGCCTGCTCTTTCTTCCTCTACTAGTCCCAATGCTAAAACTTTGATTCCTAAATTTCAATGTTATTTTCTCTCACTTTGAGTTATATTCTTGTAATTCTAAATAGAATGACACCAGAGTCTTATTTCATTAATCATTTTATCTTTTCTAACGTTTTGAAATATCATTCTATAAAAATATTGGACTCCTCCACAATAAAAACAAATAAACAAAATAAGGTAGAATTTCTTAGCTATATATTTACAATTCTCCTTTCCTTCACTTACAAGCTCCATATTACAGAAAGGGAAGCTGTCTTTCTTCCCTGTGTCTGCTACAGTATGGGTTTTCCAAATAGACTGTAATTAGTAGTGATTCACTGCTAAATCAGCTACTTGAAATGCTGTCATTTTAGGGATAAAATATAATTAAAACCCACTAGAATTTTTAGCGCACTCTCTGCTCTGTGAAAATCCTCTTTTCTGTTTTTACTCTCTTACTTTTCCTTATACATTCACATTTCAAATGCTATTATTTCTATTATGCCTCAAGTTAACTTGTTCATCTAACCATACATTTTTCCACGGCTTTACATAAGCTTACATATCATCCATTCCCACTCCAGTACTGAGTTGTTGATCTCATATCAGTTTCCCAAAACAAAAAATACGCAGACACACATACTTCCTCCCCTCTTCTCTCTCTCTCTGTATCTATCTACTACTTATCTATCTTCATGTTTCTTCCCAACCCCACAGTACTCATATCTGCTATGGCTTGTGTCTCAATGTCCCCCCAAAGCCTTATGCAGTCATGGAGGGGGTAGCTTTTCAGAGGTGGCTGGATCAGGTGGTGCTGGGATTTAAGGATGTGATTACTACTACTAAATCAGTCCACTGATTGGTTTGGCATAATTCTGAGTAGGATTAAGAGTGTGAGTGCTATACCTGCCCTAGGGCAAGTAGCTAGCACAAAATATAAGGGACAGGATGAGGGCTAATGTGCTCTCCCTGCCTGGTTGCCATGGATTGTTTCTCCTCTGTGATGCCCCTCTGCCATGCCACCCTGCCTTGGAGCCAGCCAACTGAAACATCTACAAACAGAGAGCCAAATAAACCTCTAACTTTGAATGTCAGGTATTTTGTCTCAGCAACAAGAAAAGTAAAACAGAATTAATAAACTTTTGTCTTCCTAATTCACCTTTAACCCATCTACATTACAATTGTAGCATGTTGCCTAATCTGTTTGCTTATGTCCATTCTTTGGTATTATTTTGACCCAGAGAACTATTATCCTTCAGGTGGAGTCATCTTTCTATATCACATATGTACGCATTCTCATGCCTTCTGTGACCATCTTCTGTAACTAAAGGAAATGACTTTTGAAGTCTTTTGAAATCTGGAACCTGCCTAAATTCCTAGCAGATACATCTTCTGACATTCTCTTATGCTCTTATATTAAATTTTTATTTACTTAGATAAAGTGGACTTCTTAGTTTTCTCCAAATTTGTTTTTCAGTAAGTAAATAAATAAATAAATAAAATTAAACTAAATATTACTGAAGTCCATCTGAAACCTGAAAATGGACAAAGGTTTCTTAGGGCAATATTAGACAACTAGTGCTTGGTGTTAGCTAAAGAAAAGAAATAGTTTGTATCCTCTAATCCATTAATATGACCTCAGGAGTTTAAATTAAATAATGTACTCTTGTTTAGGGAAGCTAGTGAAATGATAGAATCTTACAAGCAAAGAATTTTAACCTTCCTATTTAAGGCATGAAACATTTGGTGCTTAATGTTGCATAGAAACAGTAAACATACACACACACACACACACACACACGACCATAAAAGGATTTCATCTGCCCTTAAAAATCAAAATCCTAAATTTTTAAGATTTGGGTCAGGAAAAATAATATTAAAGCCAGGTGAAATGAGTAATCAATAAGCTCTAAATTTGTTTTACTGACTTTTCCCAACTATTTTCCGTTTAAGTCATTATAATCATCATTTTTTCTGATCTCTACTCAAATTGTATGTTTGTTGCTCCCTCTTTAATACACCATTATGTAAATTAAGAAACAAATTTTAACTAATAGGAGATGTTTTTTAACTTTCAAGGAGTTAAAATACCAATATAAAACAAGAAAAGCTATAAAACATAGTAAATGTTCTCCCAATTTCTTATTCTTTTCAGCCATCAGATTTCTCTCAGTACATAGAAACGCATATTGTAGTTGAAAAAGCTTTGGTAAGTACATTCTGATTTATTTGTCTTAAGTCACTTTTATCTTAGCAATTATGAATTATAAAAATAATTTGAAATGAGTATGTGACAGAGGAGAAGTAATGATAACTTTGCAGTACCTATTTTTAATACATTTTAAATTACTGGTCAATAGGAAATTAGGAATGAAGTTTCTATAAAATTTTTTCCTTAATTTTATAAAATAATGCAAATAAAAATAAATGGTAGTTTTATACCAGTTTACAGATAGTTTTAGAATCATAGAAACTTATTGTATGTACAGTTAATATTTTAAAATTTTTTAAATAATTATAAATTTTTTATGTTACTGAAAGAGGGAATAAGAATTTCTCATTCATAAAAATACTTCAGTAGACAGAAAAACAATGCTTTATACAGGGAATAGAAGAGACTGTTATTGTTCCAGGTATTTCTTGAAAGATTTTTTCATGAAATGGAAGTATAATTAGTTGAAATTTAGAATTACTGAAGTAATTTCATTGTTTTTTCCACCTTTTTTCTCAATTTTTGTGAGCAACTTCCCAACATTACTTTTAAAAAACATATCATGCTTTCTTAATATATTTTGGAAATTCCCCCCAAGGAAGTGCCTTCTGCCTTTGTCGATAATTAACTGACCAACAACATGAGTGTTTATTTCTGAATTCCAAATCCTGTCCTACTGTCTGTCATTGCATCCTTTCCAAGTGACCTGGGAACTACAGAATTTACAGCAAGCTTTCCAATCAGGCAGTCTAAATCTTTACACACATGCTGTGTTCCCTTTTTGTTGTTTAGTTGCAAGTGTTCTTCATGTAATCTGAAAACTAGACCCTAATCACACATATGATTTGCAAATATTTTAACTTCTCTGAAGGTTGTCTTTTTATTTTCCTGATGATGTTAATTGAAGTGTAAAGTTTTTAATTTGGAAAAAAAAACCTTATCTTTCTTCATTAATCGTGGTGGTGTCTTCTTCAAATATCATTTGCCCATAAATGTTATAATTTATTCTTGGACACTCAACTCTGTGTCATTTGTTTAAGTCTAATCTAAAGCCACTGTCTTTATTGCTGTGGCTTTGTAGTTACTTTCAAAATTGTGGCAACTTTGTCTTTGTTTAAAATCTCTTTGGACACTCTGTGGTATGTCAATTTTTGAAATAATTTTAGGATCAAAGTGAAAGCTGGAATTTTGATAGGTATTGCCTTGAACATATGGATCAGTTTGGAAATTTTTGCCACCTTAACATTATTTTTTTATTTTAAAGAGAAAAGAACAAAGACAAAAACAAAACAACACAAAAGCTATTAAAAAATGATACAGAATTTCAAAACAAGATGATAGGAAATCTACAATGGTTGCTGTATTACTTATTGTTATCTTCAAAGTAGTTGCTCAGATTACCAGATATAGATATGCAAGATTGATCAAACAATTAAACGTTATCTGTTCCTTTCAATAAACCAATACCTTAACACTATTAAGTGTTGGGACTGGGGATTTAGCTCAGCGGCACAGCGCCTACCTGGCAAGCGCAAGGTTGTGAGTTCAATTCCCGGTGCAGAAAAAAAAAAAAACTATTAAGGGTTACAATCCATAAACATAGAGTGACTGTCCACTTATTTATGTCTTTACTCTTTCTCTCTCTTTCTCAAAATATTAGGATTAGAGATCTCGTTTGACCGAGATATTCCTCTTCTGAGTATTTTCCCAGAAGAATTAAAAACATCACACCACAGCGATACATGTGCACCCATGTTTATAACAGCACAATTTGTTATGTCTTTATTCTCTTTCAACAATGTTTTAGATTTGGATGTTTGTCTTGCACTTCTTTGTTAAACTTATTTTCCATTATTTTAATATTTTTAATACCATTATTTCCTTTTTTTTTAATTTTAGAATTAAAAGGAGGAAAATACTAACAGATCGACAACATTTTACAAAATAACAAAGCATCAGTACAGACATTACAGAGTTACAAACAGAGTGGTAGGGAATTAACAATGCTTATTGTATTACATATTGATATCTTCAATGTAGTTTCTCATGAAAACAC